GCTTCTCCACCTGGAGACGATTCTTCCGCATGCCGGAGCCGTCGAACATCTCGGATATATTGAGCACGGCCAGTGCTTGATATGCCCAGCGCCGGCCTCGGAGGCATTTCTCAATGGCGCCCAGGTGATGAATATGCCATGCATCGCGGTTCCTCGGCGGCCTTTTTTCCACCGGGTCTCGGAGGTCTACCCAGCCGTCGAATTCGTCAAACGAGGTGACACAGCCTATAAACCAATGAGAGATCCCGTCGTTGCGACATGGCTTGTGCCGAGTGGCCGTAGCGAACCACTCCGAGCAGCCACGCTCATCGCACTCGCTTGGAAGCTTCGCGCTGAGATGCTCCTGGAGCAGCGCCTGCACTAAGCACTCCTCCTCGAAGCTGTAGCTGAGGGCGGGCTCTGCCCGCAAGATGTCGCGGACACGCATCGTCATCAGCGCATGTGGCAGTGCATACTACATCGCATTGTACCGCTCTGCATCGGTCGGAGCCGTCGGCGGCATGGGGCCCGCAGGCTGGGCTGACCATCGCCTGATCAAGGGTGCCAAGGGTTCCCCAGCCGCAGCTGGCGCTGCAGATGAGCTCGCACTCCCAGATGACTTCGTCTTTTCGCGGATATCATAGAACTGGCATCTGGTGATATTCGGAGCAGCCCCTGGCGCCCTAGATGTAGTCGGCAATGCCTTCTAACCCTCATCTCGCTGCGAGGATCGCACCCTGGCCGCGCCCTCCAACGACGGCGCCCAGCCAGCGCCCCTGTAGAGCCTGCCAGGAGTTGGGCCACGCAGGTATACCGGGCCCTTCGGCGCGGGCGCACTGCTGCCTTGGAACACCGATGCTGCCGCGGCCACTGCTGGCCCCCAGGAGCGCTGTCTGCGGGCAGGTTGCCCCGCAGCTCTGTGTGATTTGTTGCTTCCAGGGTCGGCCTCCGCTGAGCCGGTCCTCTGCCTTTGTTTAGGTGGCGCTGGAATTGGTGACCTTGGCGCACTCGACGACGGAAAAAGATCGACGCCCCTCTCAGATCGCCCCTCTCCCCCCAGGGAATTCGAAACCTTGGGCGGCTCCTCAGCGGGCGCCCCCGCACTTGAAGATGCCGCTGGCCCGCCCGCATCTCTGGATGCAGATGCATTTGGAGTGGGATTCCTCTTTGGCCTGTAAAGTGGCATGTTCTTGATGTTAGATTTGCCTGCACAGGCTTACTTGCATCGTCCATCGGGCAGCTTGTACAGCACCGCCGCGCCTGACCATCCGATGTCTCTGGCGTGATACGACGCCACTGTACCAGGTGCCGAATTCATGTCCTCCGTCACTGGATGGGCGACGTCCAAATCCGCATTGGTTGACTCGCTGCTGTAAGCTTCGCAAGTGCATTCTGAATCATGGACAGCGGGAGCAGGGCCAACTGCCTCAGCATGGACAGGATCGTCATCATTTGTTTAATCGCCATTTGGAATATCAGCACCTTCATGAGGAAGAAACGGTTTGCCCCGCTGGCGACGCCTCCGTCACGATTTCATGAGATCCTCGACTGTATCGCTTGAGGCGGTGATCTTCACCGAGGTTCTTCCACCTTTGCTCAACGAGTTTTGCCTCGTCTTCGGCGATCGGCCGGTAGTCTGCTTTAGCCAAACATCGCCCAGCAGGGCTGCGATCCGGATTTACCTTGCGACCCAGACCATCTCCATGAGACCTGACCCCCGGCGCCCTCTCAAAGTTGGGGCTCCTTCAAGGACGCCCCACTGGACAGTCCGGTCCGCGGTCGGCAAAATGTTCGCAGCTGCAGACCTGGCATCGGCACTCCTCTCGATCACGAATGATGGCCCTTTTTGCGTCCCTTATTTCAAGATTGCGGGCCGACTGAGTACCAAGCCCTCCGCTGGCACGGATTATCTTGCCACGATCCTCCCGCGAAAAAATACGGCGTGAGTACCAGTGGCGGACGTCGTGCTCAGTCCAACCTTGTTCGGGCCAGCACTTCGCGTCTGCTGCTGAAACATTTTGGCGGGCAAGCCCATGGTCTTCGTAGCTGACGAGACGCCGTGGGCCCTGGCCTTCGGGCTCGCCTGGCTGGCCCTCGTTCTGAAGCGGTTTTCCCCGCGAGCGCCCCCGTCTGGGTGGAGTTCTTGGAATCCCCGCGCCAGAAAGACGCGGGCGTTGTGCGCCACTAGAACGGGCACGCGAGTGCCCGCGCGAACGACTCCGCCCATGACGGTGCAGGCGATGACTCTCAGCCCCCGGTTCGTCCTCGTCGTCATCATTGCGATGTACCCGCCTCCAAACTGGGCGGCTTGTGAATCGGTCATGCATCACGAACGCGAAGTGAGATCCCTCGTTATGTCCGAGCTCATATTGGACGCGCCCGGAAAGGTCAACAATATCGCGCGGGTCACCTGCAAGGGATCGTCGTCGCATGGTTCCCCGTATATGGGATTGCCAATACCCTGCGGCTGGAGCATCAATTGTAGCTCCTCCTATGTCGCTGGCATCGCAGCATCAATGTCCGTTGGCGCCACCTCGCGGTCCGACTCGGCGGGCACGTGGAAATCCTCAACGAACTCAATCTGCGCAGGTTGCCCCGCGATAGGAATGCCCAACCAGTCCGCCAGGTTAATCTCGTCGTGGCCAACGTAGATCCCCTCGAAGAGCTCATCGGCAATCTCTCGAGGGACACTCTAGCTCTAAGATACCCGGCGGCCGCAAAATGGACAGCAGCAGCAGGGGCGTCTTCGGGTTCGGCCACTAGCGCCCCCCAACCGACATACTGGATGTCCGAATCGGTTTGGGCCAAGTGCATCGACGGACCCCTGCTCCCCCCATCGCCTTGGAGGCAGCCATGACGGAAATGTTGCGCGATATGGCAGACCTCATATCCCATGGTTTTCCCAGTGGCATCCTGCAGGTTACCCCGACGTCCCTCACCCGTTTCCTGAGGTGCGCCAGCGGCCTCTACCTGTCCCCAGAAAAACGCCTTCATTTTGTGGTCCAGTCAGGGGATGCCAAGAATTCCAACATGCCTCTGCCATGCAGTCGCCGTCGCGCGCCCATTCCCTTGCCCAACCTTTTCCACATGATCTAAACGCACGTCGGATCGCACATCGTACCTTTCAAACTGGTCTCTTCTTACCAGAATCAAGTTCAGACTCGGCGGGTTGCCCCGCAGAGCCTACACAGGGCAGTGGCTTGGGCAAGGGGCAGCCGTTGCCGACGGCCCCAGATAACGAGCCCAGGAGTCTTGCGACCCCGTGGGCTGGCCACCATGTTGGCTGAATAAGGTGGTGGCTTCAGTTGGTCGTGGATCATCGTCCCAGACGTCGGTTGCAGGCTGCCCTGCAGTAGTGTCGGTGCGAGAGGTTTCGGCACGGTGACCACGGCTAAAGAAATCACCAACGTCGCCAGGGGTTCGCACGGCAATGCGACCATAAGACCTAATGCGCTCGAGTAGAGGATAAAACTGTTGTTGGTCCCTTGGCATGTGGTGGATGGGTGGTTGTAGTAGTTGTTGTGCGCGCGACGCACCCACCCCCAGAGCCCTGAACAGGATGACTGTCAGGATCTGGGAGTTGGGGATATTGAAGCCTGCGGCCTCGGCCTCGAAGCGTTCTATCTCAGGCGCGCCAACGTCTGGTCGATCCGCTCTCCCACATGGACGCGAAATTCGATCAGAGCCGTTTCTGAACTCAGTTTGCGTTCCTCTCCTAAGTGTTCGAACTTAGTGCTGAGGAGGAACATGATATAGGTGACGCCGTCAGTGTGGCGACAACCATTATTCACGCCAAAGTTAATGGTTCCAGAAGGTACTCTCTGTAATGCCGCGGCCTGTTGGGAGGGGGTCATGGTGCCTGTGGTCGAGTTGATCCAGGCATGTACCTCGCGAGCGAACTCGCGGAAAAGTACATTACCGGCAGGGTCCCAGTGGGGGCCAGTAGTACGCGCGTCGTCTCCACCACGCTGCACGTGCCAAACAACGCGTCCGATAGCGACCCGTAGGAAACCAAAGATGGCAACACCAATCCAATGGCCCCTTAAGTCGTGGTCGGATGTCTGCGGTTGTGCGTTATGATACAATGTCGTTAACCTGCGTGGGGGTGGAGGCGGCACAATGTCGTATCGCATTGTGCCATGCACTGCGTCTTCGAAAAAGGGTTCCCAAGTGGAGTAGCAGGGTGGATTTTTCAGGAATGCAATAGCGCAGGGAAGTAGGACTCATGAAAAAACTCCGCGAGAACGGAGGTAGCGCTGCCAGTGTCCTTGCGGTTGTGCGTAGATATGTACATCCCTCCGCGCAAACCCACTGCACCATGATGTTCCACCATGTCAGTAGTCCACCAGATAGTGCCGTAGATGGTGAGGAGTAGGGCTAGAGCTGACCACCATAGGCCAGATCCGCTACCAAGTTTGAAGGGGCTGGGAGGCCCAACCAGAAGCTTCGCCTAAGGCGAAGTCTATATCCAAATTTGTTGTACCGTAGTAGCGATAGTCCCAAAAGTAGGAGACCGTCGCGGGAGCGACGGGCCGTGTCAAGCGAATACGTTTTCGGTCTCAATGGCAAAAAGTGTGCCTCGCGATGAGGTACAGTCATATGTTGGCGGCCAGTCGCTTGAGCACAAACGGCCGCGGACAAGCGCTCGTTATCTCTCGCCTTTGCCCCAGCCTCCTTCCGAGTACACAATCTGATCTGACAGCACGTCGACCTGCAAAATCAAAAGATAACATTGTCGAGCAAACGCGAACATGGATCACGGATCCGTGGATTTGGCGCGTGGGCGCCCCGAAAAACATGGCGCCAGGTTCGCCTGATTTGGCGGCGGAGCGTGCCGAGGATGCACGGACACGGGACACATCGCTGTTCCACGCGCCCTCATCCATGCTTGCGGTTCCTCGATTCATGTCTGGAGCATGGGCTGCCTTGTGAAAAGACGTGCGTCCTCTCGGGTGTGCTCTGCGCGCAGCCCAAAATCACTATATAGCCCCGCCTCCCCCCAAGAACAGGAGGACTCAGACCACGTCCGCCACGGCACCCTGCTTCCTCGCGAGCTCGACAAGGCCCTC